TCAATACAACAAGCAGAGATAAAAAACTGATCAACTAAGATTAGTTTATTAAAATGCGCATACAACTTCATTGAAATCCCCTTTAAAAATAATTCTTTGAAAGACAAGAGCTGTGTCTTGTTACTAGAGGAATTGCATCAATTACAATTTTTGAAACAACGTCTCTTATAGATCCTCATAATATGGCAAGGTAGATCAATCAACTTTTTGCCCGTAAAGAAATAATCAATGAATAAGATATAATGTATCTGTCTAAGGTCATGCCCAACATCCAAGTTACTGGATTTCACTTTTACAAGTGAGTTGTAAACGTGAGAGGTCTCGAGTTCTTACTCCGTGGAAACATTAAATGTTTCGTGAAACAGGAAACTAACTTGCCTTTAAATTTATTATCAGTCGTTCCAAGGTTATTTCAATATCATCTCGTCTAACTAAGCGATGCAGCACATAAAAAAAAGGAACTGTTGTGGTATCGTCTTTTATTTTTATTCGTATTTTGTGTTCGTTAGGGCAAGTATCGAGAAAGGTTATGGGTCGTGAGTCTTAAATTTATAAAGATGATAGGGTACCCATAATAACGATTATCGCGGACGAAGTCGCTGACACAGCTAGTAATTAATAAACACGACATTTTTTATCCCTTCCTCCCCTTCATATTTTAGAGTTGCCGTCGTCCTATATTATATCATAATATACATCTTTAAGCACTTAATGAAATCCAGACGTACGTTAATTTTAAGGTTGGACGATTAGTATCTTAGCTAAGAACAATTAAAAGACGCGTTGATGCAAACATCGCTTCTCACCACACCTGGTGCAATTCTGTCAAAGTGGCAAGAAATAACTCAAAGCTTCGAACCCCTAGTTGAATTCTATAAAGGCGGTGCATTCTTCAAAGTTCAGCACTTGAAGTTTCAGTGTTCAAGGCATTACGGATTCTGAAGGAGTTTGCGAAGATATTTTAATCGCTGGTCCTCGCTGTTCGCTCGCTGTTTAAATTAAATTGAGATTATTGTAGGAATTGAAGAATAAGTTTTGTCAGTGTGTTCTTTGTGTTTTATGTCATAATTCAATATACATGTTACCGATTATAGTATATAGATTTCGATGTCCATTTTTAATATCAAACTTTCCAAAAGGATTATAAACGCTTGAACCAAATTTTCGCTCCTCTCCCAGACATTGCTTAAGTTCATATACAAAGTATTTTTAATAGTACTTTTTTTTTAATTGAGTTTCTTTACCAGAATCACTTAAAGATCATACATCTTAAATACGTCTATAATTTACGCGAAAAAAAAAAAAAAAAAAAAAAAACTAAAAGGGTTAAAAACGCGATATATTAGTAAAACTTATTGGAATTGTCTCCTTTTTGTCTTTTTTATGGCACCAATTCCAGCCAGTTACAAATCGTATGACCAGAGAAATCGCAATTTATTATATCTATGTACGTAGTAGTTGCATCGTACATTATTCACTGTTCAATTAATAACAAATTTATGGATATCTGTATACACTGTAAACTATACAGTGAAGGCTTACCAAAACAGGTGTAATATGGCAACAAAATATATTTCCTGTTAAAAATAATAATATATGTAATTGCAACATATGGGTTTTTAAAACTTTTGACGTTTCCGAAGAACACGCAAATTAACCTTTTTTTGACATACTACTCGGGACATCGAAATTCCTGCCATCCATAATATCCAGATTTTCCACACGAAACCCTATATGTTACAGAAAAACTAAAGATCGATTTAGACCCAGTGGGAATCGAAGCCCCGATTTATTAATTATATTATTAGCCACCATTGAACCCGCCCGTCGAGTTAAAAAACGTTTATTTTCAATTTTTAAAATGCATCTCTTTAGTCTTGAAGGCCAAGAAGCACTTGGTGACTGCGAGTGGAGTAAGGAAGTAATTTTCACCACATAGCCTATTTTTTCTCGGTTCCGAGATCGCAGCCAGATGCAATATAGCCTACAGTCCCGTTGTTGTTCCCTAATTCTAGATTTTTCATTATACTGAATAAAAGATATTAAATAATAACATATAATTATATATTTACATTATAATAGATAACGGAATTTGATTATATAATTTGGTAAAAAGATATCATTTTTTTTAATCAACATAAACTTACTTCGTTCCTAGTCCGATAAAAAATAAAAAGAATTATTTTTTAATTTTCAATTATTTCCGAAGAGCGAGGAGCTACTCCCATGCGGGATTATTTTCAATTAAGAATTGTGACGTTTGGCAACACTGTTTTGATATCCCTCTTAGATCAATATGCTACCTAAAACTAATTTTCTCAATAAGTGAATCCAAACAAACCCTCCTTAGATTTATAATATAAGAAAACGTTACAAAAATACACTCTCACTAAGGGTTAAATTTAACTGACATTTCAATATTCGGTCGTTGTTATATAGGACAGAAAATAATTTAAAATTTCTCAAGAATTTTAGATGAGACAACAGGTCTGATGCGACTACAGTCTGTGGTTAGTTATTTTATCATTGCATCCTATTTCCTTTATTTTTCGATTTCGCTAACAAGATTTTCCCTGACAACCAAACAGCTTATAAGTTAGCTTTTCCGCAAGTCGTGTATTAGGTTTATTTATGTATATTGCTGATTGCAAGGAACTCTGATGAAGCGTGAATTCAATTATAAGTTCAAATTCTAATTCTCGATGCATTGGAAAATTTTATTAATTAATCCCTACGTTCTGTACCTCTAGTTACACTTATGGTTTGCCAATTGTTAGTACGCTTACTACAGAGAATTATAGCTGTCACAGCAACTTCGACCGCATAGAATAGACTATTTTGGACATTAAAATTTGTTGTCACAAACCACCTCCTCATAGTTATAAAAAAGCTATTACTCACGACTTCCCGCGGCGCATCCCGTCGTTCTTGCAAGTTAATCTTAAACGATAGACATATAATGGGGTCATTTATTCGATCATTTAAACTAGAGTCATTCTTTCATACATATTTTTAGGTATCTTGAACCATTTTCGCAGCTCACGGAACGGAAACCGACAAAGGTGAATAATTTTCTCCGTCCCTTTTACATTTCCTGCTGTTTCTTCCTCTTCATTTGTCACAGCAGGATATTTTTTAGCCTTCCCCCATTATTGCTCCAACTAGCACAGAAATCTTCCAATTTCAAACTAGTTCCTGAGATTAGCGCGTTCAAGCACATATTTAACATTATGTTTGGACTGCAATAAGTTCTGCTGAACATCTTTAGCTCACGGTTACATAAGTTCTTAACGCATTGACTTTCTTCATCTCTTAGTCCTTTGCCACAGCTGAATTTTTCTATAAAAAATAATTTGTCACTTTTCTAATATTTTGCATACCGAAACTATGTATTATGAAATATACAAAGTACAATAATAAATAGCTCAATATTTTTTTTTTATATTCAACAATTTATTAAATCAGAACAATACACTTCTTATATGAAAAAAAAAATCTACAACGTTGTTTGAACCGTATTAATATATTTTTTTAAATATTATATACTTAATCTACACGTGAATGTTCAATATATTAGTTAGATTCAGCAATTCTGCAGAATTCGCGAAAGTCCTAAATGGACCGTGAACGGGACGAAAAGTTTTTAAAAGGAGGTCACGGATAAAAAAGGTTGTACTTAAACAACATTTCTAAAGGAGAAAAAGAAAAACGAAATAACATGGTACATAATGTACTTCTTTTTGTTTAATAGCCTTTTTTAAGTACCTATTGCAGTGTTTGGAAATCTTGTTAGGGTGTACACAGTTGTTAAGTTCGCGATCGTTTGAATTGCGTGCCTGAATAGCCAATGATTATACTCAAATAATTTATTGAGTAGTACTCCTTCAAAGAAAATAGTTTCAAGAGTTTTAAACGCAGAAAAGCATCCAAAACGCCGAATCGCAGTTAAAATAGATTAATAAGAAGTTAACAAATATATTTCGCTTCTTAATGCGTAAAAAATATTTATTTCCCTTCATGTCAAAATATGCATAAAAATAAAATGTAATGTAACAACTGAACATTTTCAAAAAGTAACTATTTTTAAAGTTTATAAAACACCCATCTTATTAGACCTTATTTAAGCATTGCCTAGACTTTCGTTTTGGCCTTCATTTAGTATATTTCTCTATGGTTACTTAAAATTTTACTGTTATTCTACTATAAAAACTAGTATGTAACGTTAGTTGTGTAACATCCTATTTATCCTATATGATGCTAGAGGCAGACATAATTCTGTGTCCGTTTTACCGATTGCTTTCGGAAACTTTTATTCCACCATTCAAATTTAAATCGAAACAAGGGGTCCAGATAACAAAATTCAAAAAACAGACCAATGACCACACAGAAATTCAATAAAGCGTCTCAACGGGTTTATCTTATTACGTAGTATAGACAGGACTTCTTGATTTTTTTCGTCAAGGTTAGATGATAGTGGAGACTATCTTAACAATCAAGGCTAACAAGTTTTATGCCTAAAGCCTACCTTCATAAAAGCAGGCCCTGTTATTACAATTTAAAAAAAAATAATTTAATATTATAATTACCATTATGACAGAAAATAAGAAAAGTCAATTCCTGACAAAGGATTTGTTTAAGGCAACCTTATTTTTAAGCTTTTTTACACTCTGTGGCGTAAATGAATGAAAATGTCAAGGCGTATTCTGTGGCAGTAAATGACAATTAACGTTTATGAAATATAATTTTATCTATGACTTTTTAGGGTTACTCTGTGGTATATTGATATAATCTGTTGCAGTCTTTATAATTGTCAAAATTTTAAAAGTGAAGTTGTGCTAGAAGTCAAAACAAATGTATATATGTGTATGAATTTTTATTAGAGAAGTTTTAAGTTTTGTTTTATCTATTTATTTCATTAACATTTTAATGAAATTTTAAAAGTTAGAATCTGTGTGTTCTAAGTATATTGCATAAAATCCATCTCGGTATTGACTTGTGAAATGTCTAGCGAAGATGGTGAAAAGTGGTCACCTGAAAGCAGAAACAGTGGTCAGTAGTATATATTAAGATATAGTATCATAGTCCATGACCCTGGTCAGGTCGAGTGTTGAAAGGAAACTTTTTTTTCAACTTAGTTATAAATTGACTATGTGTTTCAGATATACCCGTATCACCAAGTTATTCGAGCTTTGAAGTCTTAGATCCACATGACCCAATCATAAGTCGTCTAGCCACACAACTATTTAAACGAACTAATGATTATCTACAAGGGGAGGTGTCTGCTGGTCAGGTATGTGAATATCTCTACAAATGACAAAAGGTTTAAGAAAAATATTACTGAAAGTCTTTCTCTCCTGTGCGTGGCAAGTAATATTTTCATGACCTTTGTCCATTTCCCCTTAATTTCCCTCTGTGGGGGAGGTGTTAGCTAGCATTTATGTTTTGAATAGTAATTTTATTTTTGTATTATTCAAAACATTGCCATGCCTAGTAAAAAATTGGGAGCGCAAAAACGCGTTTTAAAAAGAAATACATTATAAATTAATTATCGTGTATTCAAGTGAATGAATTGTTAAGACTAAAGTAATAGGGACTACAAGCTAGATCACCAGCTAAGAGGCATATGGTAAAATATTAGCCAAACTGCATATCAATCGTTGGCAAAGATATTGTGCGACAGTGATATGTCTGGCGGCATAACTACCTTGTAAATAAAGGATCGCTTTGCATATTACTTATATGTCTGGATAATGATATAAAGACAGATATTTACATATTTATAAAATTGGTAGTGGTTTAGTATTGTTTTTTTTTTTTTAAACCTGGGCATTAAAGTCAATGATTTGTTTACTTCACCATATTTTCACAGTGTTTAAAGCTGCCATGCCAAGCCATGCCATGCATCAATTACTAAGTTGAGGCTGGAAAAGCGAGGCCTACTATTGTTTAATATTATATGTCCTACTAATTTCAGGATCACTACGTGCTGTTGGAAGAAATCAACAGGTTAGCGATAACCAAGTACGCAGATTTGAAAAATTTTACCGTCAATTTGACAAAAAGCTTGAACGAGTGTAATGAAATGTGTAAGTCAAGTTTTTACTACAACTATTCCATGAACATCGGTAAGAAGAATTAAAGATCTAACAAATTTTTAAATTAGACATACATATTATTTATATGATAAATCAAAGCTTATACCAGCACAATTTTTATGATTCAATTCAATTTACAAACAGAAAAGTTGCACTTTAAATTATAGTGTTACTAGCTGAGCTGGCAAACGTTGTTTTGCCATATAAATAATTTTACTAAAATGTCTATTAAAAAATAAGGGTTGATCGTAGAAGGGTGAAAATTGAGGATTGTATGTATTTTTGTATGTTGTATCAAAAAATAGGATTAAAAATTTGCAGGGGGAAAAAACCTTATCACTTAGGGGGATGAAAAATAAATGTTGTCCTATTCTCAGACCTACTGAATACACATATCAAATTTAGTGAAAATCGGTCGAGCCGTTTCGGAGGAGTTCAAGTACGAACACCGTGACACAAGAATTTTATATATTAGATTTGACAAAAAGTCCATATTGGTCAGAATGCATAGTTTAGTTGTAAATTTGGTTACTACACAATCTTTGTTTAACTGTGAAAGTGTTTATTTAAATGTTATGTAGTTTATAATTTCTTTCACTGAATGTGAAAAAAATTATAAATATCTTCTATGATATAGATATATAGTCTTGGGATTTGACAGTGACTAAACATTGAAGCTTTTCCAGCCTCAGTTCAGGCACTAAGATGTCTAAGAAAATAATTCTTGATATTGCATATTGCAGGGGTGCTCCACTTATCATTATATATTAGATATAAATAACTTTGGTAATGTTTCGATCTGTTTTCAGATGCATCAACTATCACACCACTTCTACTTCAAATAGATGACATTCACGAGCAAGTAACAGAATTTGAAACTAATGCGTATCGCTTGGACAGCTACACAAAACAGCTTAAAGCACAATTTGATGAGCTCATTGAGAAGGAAACAATGTCATCACCGAAAGCTAACTAGACATGGTCTTTACGCGAGCAGTACGCATTTAAATAAAAGCTAACGGTTTGAAACACGAAATATTTTAGTTAACTTATACCCGTCGTTTTAGGTGCTTTTCAACATCATTAGTTGTAACAACGTTGGTGCAATTAAGGAAACTATTATGTTTCGCGTTTTAAATCGTTAAAGGTGTTTTAGTAAAATAACGCTATACATATATATTTATTTTATTGCATTTGCTTGTTAAGGTGTCACTATTGTAGGTACTACAACAATTTTCTTTAAAAAAACAATAGTGCTTGATTACTTGTTTAAACTGTAAAGCCATTTTTTGTCTCGTTTTTACACTTTCGTGGGAGAGAATAAGAAAACAAAATAGATACTTATATTTATTAAGCCTTACAATTTAAATTAAACCCGGCAAAATAGGAAACAGTATAGTTTAAATTGTTTACTCGCGTAAACTATAGCTCTCCTACAGTTCGTATTGAAGCGAAAAGGACAACACCTGTATTCCCATAATACTACATCTATATCTATGTCTATACCATTCTAAAAAAGGAGGATAGAACAAGTTTAATTTTTATGCTCATCATATTTTTAAAGTTTTAACAAAATTATTTAACTCCTTTTACTTCATGTATATGTTAATATAAATAAAATTTTAATCTTTTAACTAGTGGTTTAGTAGAATTGGGATTCAATTTTCGACGCGCGATTTGTGACATTTTATTTTATAAGTTTTAAACAGAAGCTGTTATTAAATTATATATTTTAAATATTATTTATTATTAGAATAAATTTTAAAAATAACTAACTTATCTTAATTGTAATTAATAAATTGCTATGACACCTGTATGAAGAACTTAAGTTACTTTATTTAAATGGTTTTAGAAGTTTTAATGATCATGTTATCTATGCTTTCACAGAACAAAAGAAATAGTGTTGATGTCTATTTTATTTTATTACTTACCTTTCAAAATCCTTGTCAGAAGATAGTGGTAATTTTATAGTGCTGTTTCTTGAACTAATTCAAGTTACTTTACGATAATAATTCATTTATGTCTTACTATTTTAAAATCTCAACCTATCTCATACTAAATTCTTCAGCTAAACTTCTTAGATAAAGGAGCGTTCGACCTTGTCTTTACATGTTCTTGTATTTTATACAGGGTTATAGATTAGTCACATCTGTATCCTTTAGTTGTTAGTTTTATTCTTTAGCAAACTGTTGTTTTAGAGACTCTACGATAAAACACCAATTATGTTTTGAAATACAAATAAATTATAAAAAAAAGGTGTATTTTATTCATTCGTAAGGCCAGCGCAATAAACTGTATTTTGTTAGACCAGTCAAGTGATATTCTATTATTTGTATCACACTCGTAGCAGGCTGTTTATTAAGTCTGTTTTCTACTTGGTTTTCATCGATAAACGTGTTATCATGGGAAAGGGTTTCTGTGTAAACGAACGGAAAGTCGATATTCCCTATCATTCATTTAATATTCAAATTTCAGACGATTTAATATGTTTCAGAAAAATTATGAATTATTTAGAACCGGTTAGGCCCGGGGGACTGAACCTGCCACCCGTACATTGCTACCATAACCAATGAGCCTGTCATAGGGTCGTCTTTGGTATTTAGGGTTATTAATAAAGCTCTCAGAAGATGGCTTAATATTCATTTCTGTTTGGCTAATTAAATTTATTCAATGTTTGCATTCGTAAAAATTATTGTCTAGAACAATTTATTAATAATATAAGAGATTAAAAAAAAATCTGTTAAATATAATTTATAGAAGTGTAACGAAGAAGTGTAGTGAAGTGTAAGTGTGTAGTGTACTTTGTACAAAAGGGGTGAATAAAAATCAAATCAAATCGGAAAATATTTATTCCTTTAACTTATGAACGTCGATGAAATTAAAAGACTTTATTTACTACCAGTTCGAAAATTAGGATCGTAGAACGGTCGAGAAGAACTGGCAAGAAACTCGCCGTCACTCTTTTTAACGTTAAATTTTACAAGTTAGTATATGGCTGTAATACGCACACGTTTTTAAGTTAATTTTATAATATTAGTAACTATGACATCCACGGATAAATGTTTCGAGGAAGATGCTAATTTAATTATATTATTATCATTACTTATTTTTTAATCTACATGAAGCGGTTTTTCTTGCTTTAGATTAAATCTAGACAAATACGGATATTAACTACTTTTTTGGTAATTTTATTTACTAGGTACTAATATCATAACGATAGTAATTCGCTACAAGTTCTAACAATTTTAAGTTTACTTGTCTAAGAAAATACTCATGAATTAATATTATTAATTTACTACTTAATATAGTTACATAAAATATAACGAGCAACATTCTAACGGTTAAAATAATGCAACAAGCAGCAATCTCTCCACTGTGTACTTTTTACACTTAGACAAAAATAGGTATAACACTATATAGACATGAAGCAATTATGTATATTATAACTCTTAATGTATAACACTTTTTAGTCACGATTTGATTTAAAAGGACAGAACATATCGCTTTATAATAGTCATTTTGCTTTCCTGTTTGTTACACACGTTCGTTGTTTCAAACTTTTAACCTCCCACTTCTGGGCACAGATCTCCTTATTAATACGAGAGGTTAGCTTCAGAGTTTGTACCCAACACGGTGCTTCAATTCGGTTGATGGGTTACAAGGACTGCTATCACTGAATCTGTGACAACCAGAACCCACGACTTAGCGTGCTCTCCGAGACACTGTGATAACACGTACTTTCAAATCCTAAACCGCTAAGCTAGAAAATTTAAAAAAAGAAGTCCTATAAAGTGATTAAAATCCTGGATTTAATAGTCAAGTGTAACTACTAGAGCCACAAGGCATTATCTGTTACAACAATATTGATTTAGCGTATTGAAGCAATCACTATTGTTTATAAGTTTTTCTTATCGTAGCCGTGACACAAAATGAATCAATATTTTGATAAACTTTCAAAAACATTAAATTTACTAGTCCTGTATGTACATATAGTTATTTAACAAACTAATTAACATAAAGGGGGTTTAAGGAACAAATTCCTAAATTCAATCCGACTAGTGTTTGAACAATCGAACAACCTCGATCGTAAATATTAATCTAACACACAGTAAGTAGACACAAATCCGGTACAATGAAATGACAGAGAGCTGTCAAAGTACTAAGTCCATAAATCCGACACACAATGTGATGCTGGTGCCTTTTTTGACTTTCGATCCAAAATCCATTCTCCACTCGACCCCGACTCTCTTCTCTTTCTCGCTTTTCGCAGCTGCTTTTTCTTGACCAGCTTTTTCTTCTCCATCTAAAGTGGAAGACGCCTGATTTCATTTCTACTAATTCAAGGCTATTTACATACAGATAAACCACTAAATTAAAAAATGTATAAAGGAAACTATTTTTGAAACTGGCACGTTTTGGCAGTTTGTGGTAATAAAAATAGAGATGCAATTTTAAATTATGTTCTATTTCACTTAATTAAACTGGCGGCGAATCTCGCTTTTTATAGAACTTCTATAATCTATATACGAAGAAACATAATTACTAATAAATTCAAATATAATATAGAAAATAATTACCAGAATTAAACGAAAACAGCGATGCGGAAGTCGTTTAATATCCCTTTTCTTCATCGTCCGATATCCTGGATTATACTAGATCCTTGAATTTTCCTGCAACAATAGAAAACATACGCGAAGCAAATAAGAAAAAATATAGAAGTTTTGTAGATTCAAGTTATCCTTTTTTAATTATAATGATAACGTATTTTTAAATGAAACACTTTAAACGGTTTAAAACGTGAAATCTTTTAGTGAAACTTATTTTATGATCCCAAAGGGAGGCTGCCCCGTGACCACAATTGCTGTAAAGCGTTTTAAACCGTTAAAACTGTTTTATTTGAATGTGCAATATTTGTGTAAACTACAGACACTACTTAACGTGTTTTTATTTCCCAATGTGTACAAAATAACTCATCTCACCTGAAAGCCCATGGATATCTTAGCGCCAGACGGGCCCGCCTGTTCAGTCTGGGCGCTAAAAATGTCCACCACCCTTTCCTTAACAATCTCAAATAGAGTATACGTCATGGCAGACCCAATCCAATGCTCCGCTTCTTTGTCAATTATCTCCAGAATTTTTTGTTTCACAGATGGGAGCCTAAAAAAACTTACTATTTTTATATATGAATACTAGGATCGAACAGAAGAAAAAATTATAGCACGAAATTTTTCAATTTGCCGCCAAACGCGCAAAACAAATGACAATCGAATAAAATATTTACTTTTTTCCATATGTGGCAAAAATATATAACTATTTGCCAGTCATGTCAAAAAATATTTACTTAGTATTAATCGTAAAGAGTTCCATTTAGAAAATTGTTTTTTTTACCGCATTGCTTTTAAGTAGCCAGGTCTTAAAATTTTCAGTTTAGTATTCTCCTCTATCATACAAAGTACTAAGCACAAGTTTATATATACTTACAAATGTTGATTGAAGAATATATCAAGATTGATTCTAGGCTTCTCAGTGGGGTAATTTGGACCCCACGACACTTCTACAATGAACGATTCTTCACCTTCCGTATACTATAATATTACAAAAAACGATTTTAAATTTATTATTTTTTAATACAACTTCATTACTCAGATATTGTTGTATTTTATACAGAGATAGACAATGTACTGACAAGAATCGTTCTTATATGTAAACACATAACAATTTAAAACGCAAATATTTTATAATTTATTTGATATTTTTCGAATTAATAAAACAAGTCACCTCATGGAGAAATTACTAACTAATAAAGTAAGTAAAATCCGCGTTTTAAACTGTTTGAAGGTTACTATTTATTGTTTACTGTAACAGTAAACTAAAGACAATGAGTACTTGATTTCATAATAAAATAGTACTAATAAGACAAACCTTGTATTGATAAGTAGTATCATTTAATTGATGGAAATTCTTGTCCCCCTCGTAGATAGACTTCAACACTTCCATTTCCTCAGCCTGTTGCTCTACATTCGTCATGATTGCGCTCTGACCACCTGTTGATTAGCAAACGAAACGCAATCACTCGTAAGATTTGCTGTCGAAATTAGAATATAGTGCAAACAAATTACGGAAGTGTCTGCACTTCCGGAAAATCTAAAAATAGAATTAATCCGAGCTTTAGCCCCGGGGTCGAGCTTAATCAACGCTCATCGGCGCATGTGACTGTCAGCGGATCGATAAAGGTAATTCGCCAGGGATAAGGGGATGCAATTAATGCACTGTAATTGCACTTTACATTATGAGTTAAAATAAATTTGAATATCGAACGCAAAAGAACGACACTTACAAGTGAACGAGCGGTAATAGGAAGATATTACTTTATTTGTTTATATTTTTTTCGGCTAACACTTTCCGCAAGAACACCTATCGCACAGTGTTTAGGAACTGACTCTTTAATCGCGTATCCGACAACTGAAGCTCGCTAGGGTGGATGTAAAAACTGTCACTTTGACGTCCCGCTTTGTCATAATCCGCGTGCGTAGTTCAGGTGCGTAGCGGTAAACCGGTTTAAAGATTCGAAATTTGAAATTCCGGTTTATTATACCGAAAGAACGTCGCTTACGTCCTATCACTTGTTAACTGCAATATCGTTACTAGGTACTCTTATAAAATCATCTAAAATTGTACGTTGCCTCTCGTTTAAAATGCAAAAGATATTTGTTAACTTAATTTTAACTACGGTTCGACGTTTCAAATATGTACTACTTATGTAAACTACTGTTAATCCTATTTTATATTATCTTTATTTGTAGTTTTTTTATTCAAATGTTGTATGTTGCAAGTAAGGAAGTGTTCCAATAGTATTTTCATTGAATGTATTGTATACTTCTAAGTTGTTGCTTTCGCGGTCATGTTGCAACGCTTCTAGGTTTTCTAAGAACTCTTCTCGATGTTTCGCCATCAAAAATTGATGACATCATCATCATCAACAGAAGATTTTTCGTAAGCAAAAACACAAGAATCTCTACACGACTTTTTTTATGAATTATTTTGTATATCCATAAAAAAATTGACGCCTATGAGATTTAGTAATAACATACCGATCAATCAGTTTAGAGAAAAGATTTTTTGGGCATTCTTCTCTCTCATAGTAAAGATGTTTTCAAATCTAGGACTTACCCCATTTTTTAGTATCGATTACTAACGACCATCGTGAAATTAGTGATAAAAAAAGTAAAAGATCTAGTCTTTTACCTATTCCCATTTCGGTCTTTTATATATGTCTGTGTAATTTAAATTAAAGTTTCAAATAAATTGACATTAACCATCAAAAGTATTTTATACCTGTAATGTGTAAGTGGGTAGGTCAGTAGGATATAATAAAAATTCCAAATATCCAAAACCAAAATAGATCGACAGTGAATTTTTTTAAATATTCGTTTTTCACCGACTACCGAACTCCATCTTGGTTTGTCCTCCTCTGTAACAAAAAATAAATCGTGGTATATTATATTCTTTTTTTTTAGTTGTGATTTTTTTTAATAAATTAATATTTTGCGTTTTAAACTTTACTATTTAGCGTTAATGTTTTCACATGATTTATCATTTCCCTTAGCGCGTCTAGAATACCATTTTGTCAGCCTGCATATAATATGTACTTATATTTAAAAAATAACCAATGGTGACAATTTTTTTAGGGTTGCTTCATATAAAATAAGTGTTTGGCACATCAAAATACGTATTTATTTTCAATAAAGAGTTGATTAAATACAATTGATAACAAGTCGTCACCCTGGTGTCTCCTCGCAAAATTCGGTTGTCACACTCTACTTGTGTCTGCTATAAGCCGTTGGACTTCACATTACTTGTATGGATCGGTTCACTTGTTCTCTTAAATTACACCTAGACAAATTACTTAGTACGATTATAATTAGTGTTACTAAAATGCACCATTCATTTATGGAACGATCTATCTGCGCATGACTCGGACCAATATAATTCAACAGTCGAAAGCATGCGCAAAATCATCGCCCAAACCCTTCATCCTTATAGACAAATCAACAAAAGTAATATAAGCACGTACCTAGACCTCTCACTAGTAATGGCCAGAATACAATATTTTTATTTACTTTAATCAGTCGAACCCAGCCCAAATAAATAAATATATCATTAACTATTACAAATTTTACGATAATGAGGAGGTTACAACAAATTAGCATACATTTACGAATTGTTCACTGATATTTTACTTTCCAGGGCTAGGTTTAAAGTTTCAAAACTTCTCAAAATCTTATGCTATAAAAATATACAAGTTAAAGCTTTGATAGTAGGTTTTATCACATACGAAATAAACGATAGTTGGTAGGTATATCAAATTTTGTTAATTATCTAAACATCGATCCATTTTTAATGGATCTGTAAAATAATATCTATATTAGGAGTTTCATAAAAATATGAATTATTTGAAACGTAGATAGTAAAGTAAAACGTACTATCTCTTTCCGTAGACAATACAGGCTATCACAGAGAGAGTATTTATTTTTCTAGTTGAGCTTAAATTGATCTGTCATTAACTAATGGGGTATATGCATGTTTTAAACGCTAAAAAGGGAATATAATCCTAAAAAGTTAAATTTAAAATACCGAATCGGCGCTTCCCACCTTCAATTTATAATTGACTACAGAACGCAAAAACCGAAAGGGGGTATACTAAATTGTGCTGCAAAATGTCTCTGAGATATCCTGCTAAAACCCTCTTATTGCATTCAAAAACAGTGCTTCTTAGTGTCCTTAAATCTAAAGTACACATCGAGAAACAACGATTACAATAACATTGTGGGTGGGGTTTACAAATTGACCTAAGCTATTTGAATACTACGAAACAATGCTATAATGCCAAACGGGGGGTAGGACATGTAAACGTCTAGCACGTAACTTAATAAAATTAAATTTAAAATTAATATAGGTACACAACCAATGAACTCTTAAGCATAGAATGATTAACATCGATTGTTTTCGCGTAAGTGCGACGTATTCTAAGGATTATTATATCAATGAATGCTGCCATATTGAACGGCGCTAGTTAAGAATTAATGAGTAAATGTATTGATAGCTGCGTGACCGCTTAAGCTTCTTCGCTGCTGTCCTGGTAGTAACCATACTCCAGCTCGTAGTTGTTCTGCAACAAGAAGATCTACATAACCATATCACAGTTCTTTGGTAAGGCGAATTTCTTTTCTTCGTATCTGCTGTTAACGAACCATTAATAATAGCAATTTTTCAAATAATTGCCTGCGAATCCTAACTACTATTTTTTTTACCTAAATATTTTAGTGTTTAAATGCGTTCATAGTTAATTGATTGTTTAGAAGTTTCAATAAAAAACTTAATGGTTTAAGACGCGATTTATATTAATTAAACTTATTTGAAAATTATTTTAACTAGGGCCCGAAGTTGCGGATGCTTTGCAGCAGCCGTGGTCACGAGGAGTTACGGCCGCTGCAAAGCTTAACTAATATATATTGCGTTTTGAACTGTTAAAGTGTTTACTACTCGCGTAATCTGCAGACAGTGTTTACTAATTTACTAGCTGTGCCCGCGACTTCGTTCGCGCGGAATACTGACTTGAGGTAGGATTTTTAATTATTTAGGCTGTGTATTAATTTATGTAATTGCACATTTATCGCAGCCAATCTATGTTGTAAGTGCTACTTTCACTAAAAAGTAGCCTATGTTCTTTTTTGGGGTCTAGACCACCTGTATATCAAATTTCATTCAAATCCGGTCAGTAGTTTTGGCGTGAAAGAGTAACAGACAGACAGACAGACATAGTTATTTTCGCATTTATAATATTAGTAAGGATTAAAGATTTGTCTGAATTATATGTCACCTCTGTCAAAACTATTACTATACATATATCATTTTCAGAGACTACTACCAAATGTTAATAAAATAAATATTCTTTATTATCGTTAAGATTTTTTTGTGTATTAACAATATGGGAGATGTTTATACCAACTTTACCAATACTCAAAGTAGAAGACATCCACCAGTCAGCTGCTTCAGAACTAAAGTATATAGTTACAATAATAGTACCAATGTTAAAGTTAACATTAAACCTAAAAAATAATCATATATTTTTTAGGTTTAATGTTAAGGAATAGATAAGGGTATATTTACCTCCAAGATGTCATTGGGCAATGGCCTAGCGCAAGTGCAGGCCCCGGATGGGACGTGGCAATAAATGGGAGTTCCATTTTCATGCACATTCACCTCCCACCCTTGGGGAAGATAACCTATAATAGAATTTTCTTTTAGTTCTTTACTTTTGAGGCGAGAAGAAGAAACTAAAAACCGTTTGTTTTCTATTCTACTTCACACGCAGACCTGTGTGTGTGTGTCCTTCACAGACACGCAGATTACACCCTTGTGTCCTGACGAAACGTGTTCCCCGGATTAAAAATTAGGACTTTCAGCCGTTAAAAGTAGGTTGTTAATTATGGTCGGATTGAACTACTGTTTTCTCACCATTTATATTACAAACCTTCATCATCATCATCATCATCTTCGAGTTCTCCAATTGTCAAAACATAGTAGTTCAGGGAGTTATTCCCGATATCCTCAAAGTAAGGTTCTTCGTTTTCAATCTCCAAAACATCTTCCCGTGGCACTTCTGCCACTTCCTCTTCTTCTTCTTCTTCATCATCATCTGAAAATTATTAAAAATGTTAAAAAAATGTTTTATTTAACTTAATAATTGTAATAAAGTGTATACCAGCGATGAATAAGAGATAAACTTACCGCTGTCCGAACTCTCAGTATCGGAATCGTAATCTTCGGTGTCATATTCAACATAATATGTTTCCTTCAGAGCCTCGTTCTCAAAAGTTGCACGGAAAAGTTCGTCATAGACGGTAGCGCGATCTAAAAGGAAGAAAAATATAATCAAGTATAATATATTGAATTTTTTCCTAATCGCTTACCACTTTTAAATAAACAAATAAAATAATTATTGTTCTGCATATATCATGGTTATGCTCACCAGAGGCTTCAGAGTCATCGCTGCTGTCATCATCATCGTCATAATCATCATCGTCGTCGTCATCATCATCTGAATCGATTTTGCTGACAACCATAATTTTACACAAACGGGACATATCGTCATCCTTGCGATCAGCAATCAGGGCATTTATTTGATCGATGGACATTTCGTCATCATTCTTTTCAATTTCATCAAGCATCTCGGATTGTATCACCGCCAGTTCTTCACCAATGGATAGGTCTTGCAGAGTATAAGTACTCAGAAGCTTTGTAGCACGAAGAATTTCGTGGCTTACTTCCTGTATGATCTCCTCTTGAACTTCCGCCAAGATGCTCTTATGAGTTTCTTCCAGGGCCTCGAGAGCTTCTAGTGCTTCTTCGTCGTCGTTTATTGAAGATGTACTTGGAAAGCTTTCTTCTTGAATCTCATTAAGTAGTTCTTTCTCAAGAGCCTCCACGTCTTCAGTAGTTTCCATTTCTTCTACTTCTTCAGAAGCCCTTTCTTCAGATTCTTTTTGTACTTGTTGTACGGAATTATTGGAAATATGAAGTGCAGCCATTTTGTTAAACTCTTCCTTGGAGAGACTCATACTGAAACAAAAAAACATGTTTCATTGTAATCTTAGACAACTTTAAATGCTTAGGTTTCTAAGATTGATTCTAGGCTTTGAAATGTTCATAATATAAGTAATTCGCATTCGCAAGCCTACGCAAGTAAATAAGCAGACATTTAATTGCAGATGCTTTTTAAAATAACTAATACAATAAAATTCTGCGAGTTGAATTGAGTCTTATTAAAGTACTTGTTCTACAAATCGCATATCTTTTGTTAAATAAGTTTTTAGTAGTAAAATCTTATTAAAATTTAAGGCTTTCAACATGATGTCTTTTGGGACGCTGTAACCGTGAGGTCTCGAATTGAGTTTCTTTCATCATTAGAGAGCGTTAAAATGAATTCATTTTATGAGCTTTAATAAAAATAAATGATTGGAAGTTACCTTGAATATTTTCAGAAGCTAAGCGGTACAAAATTAATAAAAAACTTACAGCAGTTTTAAACGTGAAATATAAAACTAATTTAATAATGTAGCGTTATTGTTCTATTGCATTCGCCCTGAAAAGCCCTGGAAATATCCTGAATCCTGAAAGTTGCAATACGCGATTGCGCAATTTGTAGACGAATTTATTGATTTCAACCGGCGTTGCCTTATCACTATAGATAGATATTACGCGTATAAATCTCTTTGTTATGTCATGTTTGAACATGGGTTATATCAAATATAGCTATGTGTATTTCAAAAATCAGCTAAATATTTAGCGCCCAGAGAATTTGAAAATAGAATCATTTAGAAAAGAAATATTGTCACGACACAGCCAAGACGTCTCTGCAAAATATTTACAAACACTGTGCGTGCCTCAAGAAAGCACCTGTTAGATTACCTCTTGACACAACAGTTTACGCCGTGGGAAAAACATACATACATATTTAGATTTACATCTAAAAAAAATCACTTATCACATTTGTTACAAAGACAACATCGAGACTTCGATTTCGAACAAAAGTAGTATAAAGAAATCCTAGAAGAAAACGGAAAAAATAATATACCACAAAGCATATAAAACAAAATTTTAATTCTTATATATAAATATCCAAAATCTTATAATATACAACAATATATGTAGCATATAATAGCAAAACATCGCAAGTCCACAGCAATACACAATTGAGAAAAGTTATTAACACTTACCTATTCCTCTTCAGAGCTGGTGAAGACCAACAGCGACCAGGCACAAAAGCACAATAGCAAGAGATCGGCTGATATAGCTGAAGCCCGGGCGAAGACTGAGCCTGGACGAATATGGCCTGAAAAATCAATACCCCGGAGCCCTAGCTTAAAGGGTAGTTGCCAGTTAAGTGACTTAGAACCATATTGCTGGGCATTTAGATGTCAAAATTGCATATAAGCTTCATTTAATTGAAAAGTTATCTACTCTATAAGGTTTACAGCAAGTTAATTGTCATTAATGACAAGTGTCATTGTCAATCATTTGATATATAATGTAGTCGTTTAGTTTTAGTATGAGGAATGCGATCGAAGTATGTGGTTGTCACAATTAACTTTACTTTATCACCTTTGAAACTTTGAAATATTACCCGTGCCCGCGACTTCTTTCGCGTGGAGTAATTACATTACACATTTATTGGATAAACATTATAATTAGTATAGAGAAAACAGTATTAATATACAATAGTTATTAATAATACTAATAACTTTCAGATATTATACTTGTATATATATTCTTGTCTCTGTCTATCTAAAGCGTTAATAATAAATAGTATAAATATTAAAACTTCTGAACTTTATTTTACTAAGTAAAAATCGCAATTATGTTTCTAAATGTTTATAACAACAGTGTTTAACCTATTTTATTTAAATAAATTATTTTTATTCGAAACACAAAGCATTCCTTGTGAAAACATCTATTTCAAGGTTCATAATTAGAGAAGAAGGATCCCCTTAGGCGGAAAGAGCTTTTAGTTTTTACTTAGCAGTTTGTTTTTCTTCATTTAATTAATTTTAGCTTTCCACTTACTTACTAATGATCGGATAATGGATTTGTTTTAAGGCTACGCCCACTGTTGTGTACAGATAAAACTTTAAAACAAATATAATTGTATAATCTACGTTTTGTTTTATTTTCTAATACCCAAGCCATATTCCCTCATAACAAGATACGCTGCAACCTTCGACTCTGGACCTTCAGATATCCCCAAAATTACACTACATAGCCCTTCCACTTATAGACGGTGGTTCGTGACCCGCGTAAAATTTTGATATTGCTACCCACTTCATATTATATTAAAAAAACATCGTTATTCTTATTATCCAATTTTTGGACTCTGTGGGACTTCAACCCACTAGAATTGCATTAATCCCGAAACGATCTGGGTTTGAATCTAGAGAAGTGACAATAAACTGTTTCGATTGTTCAGAACTAGATTGCTCATCATCTACGCGTCTGTATATGGCGTATACATTTGAAACAGACACATAAATATGTAATAGAGGCACGGAATCTCATTTTATTTCTGTAATAAGCTATTTTGGTATTCTTTATAACATTAATCCGAATTTGCGTATTATAAAATTATAATTTAGAAATTAATAACTACAAAAGCTTCCAATTTTTTTTAAACATTGTAGTGTTGGGGTAAAAAAATATTTAATCATAGAACATTAATTTAGAATTGTTTTATGTAATAATTGTTGTTAAATTTACCGTTAGTTTAGTTTTCTAGATTGGAGGTTTTTGACATATCTATGTAAATTACATCTGGTTTATTACTCTGCACGCGTCCGAAGTTTCGTTTCATCAGTACGAAATAAAATTAGACTATATCGTATGACAACAAGATGAAAAAAGTCGAGTACTTATCGGCGATGAAAATTAATTGAACATTATTACTTTTATTATGCTAGCGAAAACCTATAAGGAAATCATGTCGGCATAATGAAAAGGTAATTGATGTTTGTGGTGGACCTAAGGTAAATTGAGTAAGTACTCGAAAATCAAACATAATATCTTGACACTTTGAAACGAGGGAGAGTTGTAATAAAAGAACCCTACTCGTGTAACTCGAACGTGATTAGTCTCGATCAGATTTTAAAGTTAGTATCGAGAGATATTGTTAATTTAATAATAGCATATTTATTAAATATAACTTCCTTGTTCCATTCAATATACATTATAAGCCTTGATACATAATACATTGGCTGATTATGTAGTACTCAAGTATTAAAAAAAAAACAGCTCAGTAAAATTAAAGTAATTCGTAAGTTAGTTCTATTTCAGTTGATAAATATTTTTTAGAGTTATAATTTTTAGAACACCTAAAATTTATATATCAAACTGTCTTGACAAGTTATTAATTATAACAAATTTACAATTTACAAAAATTAAAATTCTATATAAGGTATACTTTTGTATTCATTGTATTATAAGTTAAAGTGATTGAGAATAGATTGATTAGCCCTTTCATAAAAGTAACAATTATAATATTGTCACTTTATAGTCCCTTTACAATCCAGAATGATAACCAGTGTTAGGCGCCGCCCGCCCACGATAGCCGCTCTCTGTGAGTCACTCTTGGTTACGCTTGGGCCTCTGGCTTCCGTAGTTCACAGGCTTTCAGCTCGTCGATAGGCGCGGACGTGTCGGTTTCGCGCGGAAAACTCAACAGTTTTCCAGTGTATCTCGTTAGATTTTCAGCCGGTATCGGCGTACAACTGCAGCGCTGAGGTAGGTATATTTATTATGTTTTTTTTATGCATCGCAATATTTTTTTTAATGGGAACCTGTTGTCTGTTAGCGGTAAGGGTAAGAACTCGGATATGAATGAAACGCAACAGGTTGGCTTTACGTTACGCTTTAGTTAAGAATCTTGTTGTTGTTTACATGAACGGAACGCGATATTTGCGACGAGTGGTAATTTGCTTTTCTTTTACATTCATGTATACACTGTATATATTTAACTAATCGCGCTGAAATCTACACAATACTGAATTAAGGAATTTCTTTCTGAAGGACAATCATTTAAAATTAATGATTCAGATAAATCTCGAATATCTTTGCTGTAAGTAATAGGTATATTAATTTAATTCTACAAGAAAAAATATTATTATTTATACTTCTCGTTTCGAAACAATCGTCTACCTTTATGTCAATTAAGTATTTAAACTCGCAACCAAGCTATCTCATTTCAAAAAGGAACAGTAAATTTACGATAGTTCCGTGCTATAGAAGATTTTCCTTAGTATGTGTACTGCGCCCGCGCACGTTAATGTCATAGGTTCGAGGTATATGATAAACGACTGTAAAATATTTTTCAAACCTTAGCTACTTTAAAAATACTTCAAAGAGTTTTCATGATAGAAAAGGATAGACAGAAGGTGAAATACGCCAGCCATATACCATCTCATCAAGATGCACTTTTAACCCTTTTTTGGCTTAGATATTTAGAAATCCACGGATCGGCTATAACGCGATTAAACTTCACTTTTTTTTTAATCTGTTCGCAGCTTGGACGGAAATTTTTGATGTTCTTCTAACACCCATTTAATTTAGGTTTCAAGACACGTCTCAGAAAAATTATAAATTTATTGGCCCCGTACGGATTGAACCCTCGACTAATTAATTACCTAGCCTGTTGTTACCATTAGACCGACGCGCCCATCAATTTTTTCCACATTATACATATAAACACTAGGCTGAGAAGATAAAGAAGTATTAAGGACATCAGATGATTACATCTTAGGAAGATTTTTATATCGTCATGCAAAGGAAGATTTTTCTGTTTTATAATTTATACAAATATTTATGTAGTATACCTTTAATAATAATAAAAAGTACAAAACATTAAAACTGATCTTATTTAAAATAAAGAAAGGTACTGTAAGGTAAGAAAGAACTACATAATATAATGTATTGAGACACCTTCGGTACAATGTCTGACTGAAAGTACAGATGTATATCATATAACAAGGTTTGACAAATAAATAAAAGTGTACATTCAATACAGTACTAATAGACAAAAGAAATATACTGCATAAAGCGGAATGTAAGATAACTTTGAACTTGTAAAAGCCATATAGAAGATCAGGAATTGTTTCTGACGCTTATCCGAAAGGATTAAACTGAACATTTTCTCGCAGAGATATTTCGCCTTATCCGTGAAAAGCCGTTACATCACGTTTCGTGATAGATATCATTAAGTAGCATTTTTAAGTGTCTATCCGAATGACATTTGAGAAGAAACTAATTGTAACTCGTTTTAAAAAGAACCGCAAAATTCAGGATATTTTAAAATCAACGTTAACTTTTTTTTAACTAGTAACTTATACAGTTATAAATATGTAAGTTAAATCAACCATAAGGTACGAAAAACCCGATTATTCTAAAAACGGTATGCTATATTTTTCTAATACAATTCCGCAAACATGCGCGGGCGCACTTAAATCGAAAATAATCATAAATTTCTTAAATGTATGTAATACCCTCTAAATCATTAAAGTAATATAACAACGAAATAACGTAGCAACGAAATAAGATAACTGAAATGTCAAAGCTGGACACATAAGACGTACATATAGAAGACAAGAAGAAATAAAATATGAGAACCTAGAAGAAGAGAGATATTCTAAAAGAGATGGGACGGCAAAAGAGAAGTGGCTGGACTCACGTGAAAGAGAGTAGCAGATGACTGAAGAAGTAAAAAAGATTAAAGGATGCCTGTTTCACACGAAACTTGGAAAACAAAGCAACACACAAATATTCTTGATACTATAATAGGCTGTTTTACTTATACTTACAAAACGTATACCAGAAGTACTACTTATATAAGTATACTTTGCAACGAAATGTGTTCAAAAATAAATATGAAAAGCAACAAAGGAGAAACCGCGCGATACACGAAAAATGCATTTTCAACAAGCACTACTTATGATGTTAATTCGAGATTATTGTGAAATCCCTTTGTTGTCTCCGGCGGAAGTCAAAACATCAATTTGTATTCAAAATTAAATAACAAACGAACAGTTCACTTCGTTGTCCAACAAATGACTTTTATAAAGTTAACATACAATAATTTTTTCTCTGCCTCGTTGCTGTAGTGATAAGTCCTTAGGTTTTAACTGATGTGACCTACCTACCTACGTGAATAAATGTTTTTGACTTTTGCCTCGATGAAAACCGAACTTAAAACCCTAGGTCTAGCGAAGTATTAGTTAGATATTTACACTGTAACAATAAATAAAACACTTTTAACTGTTTCCAAAAATGCTATTGAAATAAATGAATTTATAATGCTAGGACATACAGATGAAAAATAGAATTACTTAACGTTTTCGACTTCATTATTTTTAACTAGGTGTTCAAGATACGCGGCCATTAATTTTTGCGTTTTATTTTTAAAGTTTTTTTTATATTACACTCACTTAAAAAACATACAAACTTATTTTGTGCATTACGGGTAGTACATATTTAAATGAAACGCGAAATAGATATATTTAATTTAACTGCAGCCCGACGACGTTTGGGATGCTTTGCAGCAGTCATGGTCATTGGGGTACCACACAATAATTTAAATAAAACACTTTAACGGTTTAAAACGCGATATATTAGTTTAACTTATTTGAAAATGATTTTTAACTTCGGCCCGACGTTTCGGATGCTTTGCAGCAGCCGTGGTCACGGGGAGACATCATTCCCAATCATTTCCAAATAAGTTTAACTAATATATCGCGTTTTAAACCGTTAAAGTGTTTTGTTTAAATGTGTACTACTCGCGTAAACTATAGACAGTATTTACCACAAAATAAGTCAATCAAATAATATTTCGCATATTAAGTAGTTAAAAGTTTCTTTCACACTGTTGTTATAGATTTTTTTTATTCAGAATTTACAAACATACTATATTGAAACAAAAAGGCGTGAACCAAAACTTGTTCGAGTTCTTCTGTTTTTCATGGTAATATACTTTTAAGATAGGTATTCATAAGTCTTGTTGCTATGTTTATTATATTATACTTACGTCACGTGTAGGTAATTGGTGGAGGCAGACTTTTGAATAAACCAGACAGTCTCAAGAAAATACCTGGTTACAAATTGTTATAAATCCTTATTCCTAATGACATCCAACCTCAATAATCTTATCAATTAACTTGTTATACGAGAACTATTTTATCAATTCCTTAGAAGCGTTATTATATTAAAATTATTCTATTTGCTTTTCATTTATCTATATACATTTGGCGTGTATTTTCTTCTATTTATTTTTGTTAGTAGTTTGGTATTCGTCTTTACATATAACGCATGCGTTGGTCTAATGTGACTAAACAACAGGTATTGAATAATGTCTATACTTTACGCGAGTAGTACACATTTAAATAAAACACTTTAACGGTTTAAAACGCGATATATTAGTTAATCTTAGTCAGTTAGTCTCCCCGTGACCACGGCTGCTGCAAAGCATCCAAATCGTCGTTCCGAAGTTAAAAATCATTTTGAAATAAGTTTAACTAATATATCGCATTTTAAACCGTTAAAATGTTTTATTTGAACACGTATTGAGTTCGATATCCACCGGCTCCAGCGTTTTGTAAACAATTTCATTTTTTTATCCGGACAAGATCCAGATCTGGACAATGAATAGGTAAACGAAATGCGCATGAGTTTTAAACTACCATAAAACATGGGAAAGTCATGAAGTGCGAATCAAAAATAGTTTGACAGTATTTGATACTTAAATATTATATGGCTGGGATTTTTCACCTTCCATCACATGAACGCCATGCTTATCTGTTCTCCTCTATCAAC